ACTATGACAATTACCGTTTGATTGTCATAGTTCATAAGGATAGCCGGCACTGGTTTTTCAACAATAGGCAGATCCATTAATAGATCACGCAACCATTTTGCCTCAACAGTAGCAGTATCCAGTGCCGTCAGTTCTGCTTCCATGGTTGACCTCGTCAAAATGGTCTGTTTGCAAGACCTCCACGAAACAACACCACCATCCAGTGTGAAGACATATCCACTAGTGGCTTTGATCTCATCCACATCAGAGATCCAGTTAGAATCACTATAACCCTCCAGTACTGCAGGATACCCAGTATAGTGAAGCCCCAATTTCATAGTACCTTTCAGATAGCGCATTACTCGCTCAAGCGCACGCCAGTGATCATCTCCCGGATTAGAGGTAAACCGGCTCAACTTGCTCACATCAAAGGAGATATCAGGCCTAGTTGCACTAGCCAGGTACATCAGCGAGCCAATGATTTGGGAGTATTCCAGTTGATTCCTAGCAATTCTTTTGTTCTTATGAAGCAACAAGCTAGGATCATAAGGTGTTGGAGAAGGCTTACTATCAATGTAGCCAAAGCGATTCAAGATCTTCTCCACATAATGGGACTGCAAGAGTGTAATCCTATTCTCACCTCTAATTAGCTTAATGTTTAAGATAACATCAGCTACTCCCAAATCCTTCATATCAAAATTTTGAGACAAAAATGATTTAACCTCATTTATCACCTCAAGGTTTATCCCAAATATCAGTATGTCGTCAACATACAAGCACAGAATAACTCCCTCACCCCCACCATGGCGATAATACACACATTTATCTGCCTCATGGACTGCAAAGCCTGCAGATGTCAATGTTTTGTCAAATTTCTCATGCCATTGCTTAGGAGCTTGTTTCAGACCATACAAAGACTTCAACAATTTGCACATTTTGCCTTCTTGACCTGCAACTACAAACCCATCAGGTTGATCCATATAGATCTCCTCATCCAGCTCTCCATTAAGAAAAGCTGTCTTAACGTCCATTTGATGAACGAGAAGACCATGTGAGGCTGCTAGGGAAAGTAGCACACGAATTGTGGTCAATCAAGCAACAGGTGAGTAAGTGTCAAAGAAATCTTCGCCTTCTTTCTAAGTAGAGCCCTTAGCAACAAGCTGAGCCTTGTACTTTTCAATAGTACCGTTAGGCCTAAGCTTCTTCTTGAACACCCACTTGCACCCCACAGGTTTACACCCATAGGGTCGCTCTGTCACCTCCCAAGTCCCGTTTGCGATAATGGAATCCATTTCACTACGGACAGCCTCCTTCCAGTAGTCTGCATCAGGAGATGCATATGCTTCTGAAATTGACTTAGGAGTGTCATCCACGAAGTACATAGTGAAATCATCACCAAAGGACTTAGCCGTCCTTTGTCTCTTACTCCTTCGAGGAGCTTCATTGACATCCTCCTCAGAGACATGTTCATGTGTATGTTCAGTTTGTTCTGGTGGTGTGATTGAACTGGGAATTATTTCAGAGGGTTGGCTCGAACCACTATGAGTATCCTTCATTGGAAAAAAGCTCTCAAAGAAGGTAGCATCACGAGACTCCATAATTGTACCAACATGCATGTTAGGTACCTCGGATTTAACTATTAAAAATCTATAGGTAATGCTGTGATGAGCATATCCCAGAAAGACATAGTCCACAGTCTTAGATCCAAGTTTGCACTTCTTCGTTATTGGTACATTGACTTTCGACAAGCACCCCCATGTGCGCAAATAAGAAAGTGATGGTTTTCTCCCAATCCATATCTCATATGGTGTTTTGTCCTTATTTCTGTTAGGAACTCTGTTTAACACATAATTCGAGGTCAACAATGCCTCCCCCCACCATGCCTTAGGTAGTCCCGCGGTGTCCAACATGGCATTCACCAAGTCAGTCAGTGTGCGGTTCTTCCTTTCAGCAATCCCATTAGACTCGGGAGAATAGGGAGGCGTCCTCTCATGTATGATGCCATGTTCCTCACAGAATAAGTCAAACTCGTTTGAGAAAAACTCTCCACCACGATCAGACCTAAGCCTTTTTATCTTTCTGTCAAGTTGATTTTCAACTTCTGCCTTATAAATTTTAAAATAGTCTAGAACCTCGTCTTTCGTTTTCAACAAGTACACATAGCAAAATCTAGTAGCATCATCAATCAACGTCATGAAATATCGTTTTCCACCCTTCGTCAACACCGCATTCATTTCACAAAGATCTGAATGTAGGAGTTCTAGTGGTGCCAAGTTTCTCTCCTCAGCAGCCTTGTGAGGCTTGCGAGGTTGCTTCGATTGCACACAACTATGGCACTTAGAACCTTTGACAATGGAAAACTTAGAAATTAAACACATGCTGGAAAGCCGAGACATCAAGCCAAAATTAATATGATATAAACGTGAGTGCCAAACATTAGCCTCATTATCCACACTGCCACAAATATGGTTCACAGACTTATTGCAGAAATCAAAAAGGGAAAAGCGAAACAGGCCTCCGCACTCATAACCTTTACCAATAAAATATCCATGTTTAGACACGACTACTTTATTAGACTCAAAAACCAACTTAAATCCGTCTCTAGTCAGACGGGAGCCACTAACAAGCTGATTCCTGTCGATAGAAGGGACATCCTGCACGTTCTTCAGCTGCACGATCTTTCCCGAAGTAAACTTCAGATCTACCGTACCAACACCATGAACAGAAGCATGTGACCCATTCCCCATTAGGACGGTGGAACCCCGTGCGACCTGATAAAAAGAAAACAATGAGATGTCAGCACAAACATGTACATTGGCCCCAGTATCAACCCACCAATTAGTAGACTGATTAACTGAAAAAACAGTAGGTAAATTACCATACCCGCTTTCATCTCCAGTGTTGCCAATAGTCACATTAGCAGACTTAGAGGTCTGCCCTGCAGGTGCCTTCATCCCCTTGCGTTGTGGACACTTCTTGGCCAGATGGCCAGGTTGACCACACACAAAGCAAGACCTCTCATCCTGATTAGGATTGTTGTTGTTGTTCTTCTTCTTGAAGTTGGTGGTCTGTTGAGCTTTGTATTTCCCCTTGCTCTTGTTCTAGGCCTTGTGCACAACATTGGCAGTGGACTGGCCACCATCGCCCTTAGACGTGGCATCTTTTCCCTGAGCTTTCTCCTCAACATCAAGAGACGCTATCAACCCCTCAACGGAGTATTCCTGTCTCTTGTGTTTGAGTGCAGTACCGAAACCTCTCCAAGATGGAGGTAGTTTCTCAATAATGCACCCGGCCACAAATTTGTCGGGTAAGACACACTTAAGGAGTTCGAGTTCCTTAGCCATGGTTTGTATCTCATGAGCCTGTTCGACTACAGAACGATTGTCAGCCATCTTGTAGTCATGAAACTGCTCCATGATATACAGATCATTGCTAGCATCAGTAGCACCGAATTTAGTATTCAGTGCATCCCACAACTCCTTAGCGTCGGTCATATGCATATACACCTCGACCAGACGATCGCCAAGCACGCTAAGAATGCATCCCACAAAGAGAGTAGTGGCCTCATCGAATTCTTTCTGCTGATCAGCATTAAGAACGCCCATAGGCTTGCCAGTACTCACCCAGAAGCATTTCATAGCTGTCAGCCACAGAGTGACCCTGATCTGCAGAGGTTCCGGAGACCTGCTCTCCCGATCGTAGGTGCACGCCGACGAGCGGGATGGAGTAGACTACGAGTGACGGCGCAGCACAGAGGAGGAGGCAAACCTAGATTGATTTCGTGTGTGTTGCGTGAAGGCGGCGGCTCGGTTTATATAGAGATAGGTCGCTTGATCAGGGCGCCCGCACGATCTCCACTCCGCGTAACCGAACCGGATAAGTCGCTCTCCCGATCGCAGGTGCACGTCGGCGAGCGGGATGGAGTAGTCTACGAGCGACGGCGCAGTGTTTTAATGCACCGGATTTTTCGGAATATTTCCAAAACAAAACAAATCCGAATGCTGCATCTGCGCAAGGGTGAGGAGCCCGATAAGTCGCTCTCCCGATCGCAGGTGCACGCCGGCGAGTGGGATGGAGTAGTCTATGAGCGTCGCAGGTGCACGCCGGCGAGTGGGATGGAGTAGTCTATGAGCGACGACGCAGTGTTTTCACGCTCCGAATACTGCATCTGCGCAAGGGTGAGGAACCAATTTTGCGGACCATTCGACACGTACGTCGTGCACGCGCGCCGCCTGTTCCCCCTCTTCTCTCCACCACACATGCTTCAAGTGGCTAGGAGGACATCCTCTCTTTTAAGGAGGTCCCCCTCTCCTAGAATAAGCAAGGTGGTACTAAATTCCACATGCATGCCATCCCATAAGGTGAGCTTTTGTGATTTTCCAAAGAATTAATTTTCGAATGGGCCTTAGCCCATCTATTAATTCCAACATATATAGCTCAAAGCATCGGATCCTTCCATACTGTATAACTCTACAATTACAAAAAGTATAGAACTGAAACTCTTTTTAGGTTTTAGCAGTGCTGCTCCCATCTGAGAATTAGGATAGGTTTAAGGGAAGCCTGCTCGAACGATCTTGGCTATCTCAGATTCTCATATTTGTATCTTCTAGATCTACTGATGGAGCAATAGGCCGACGGAGCGCTAGGCCAACTCTGACTTGACCTTGTTGGGCAATATCGTGGTAAAACTCGCACCCAAAAATCGTAAGAAAAACTAATAAAGTACTATCGATAAAAGTCTGGGCAATATGGGAGTAAAATATTCTGGTATCATCTTTGATCCCGTTGGCTCCGGTTAGGTAAACTGTATAGGCCTCTACGAACAGTACCAGCACGAAGAATTCTAGAATGTGATAAAAGAAACAAACTCAAAGAATCTAGCTTAGGGTTCGAGGGAAAGCATCAACGGCATGTGTGAGAGTGAGGAGCAGAAAGTGGAAAAACACTATGTATATAATATGGTTTTTGGATAATGAAAATAATTTACATCTCTAGCCTCTAACAGATACAAAGCCAATAAGTTAAATAGAAAAACCTCTCTTTATTTTTTTTATATTTATTAATGGAGTACAAGTAGAATTTGTACAACTACTTTACACAAGAGAAACTTTAATACTATAGCCAACTACTGGAACTAAATTATCTTATCCCACCTCTTATACACACATAGCTGGCTATAAATTTAAAATTTGTAGCTCACTTTTCATCTCTCCTCTCTTATCTTCTTTATATGTATTGATAACTGGTTTGTAGTTTGTTATTGTATTTGCTCTAACTCTTTGACATTCCGAAATGGGGCTCCACTTTCGCCGACGCACTTATATTGAGCATATTAGCATGTGACTGATGCCTCCGGCAAAAGGACTTGACCCTTTCTAATCCTTGCTTTAGCCTTGGGGGATCCAATGCAAAGGTGATGCGCAACCAGTTTTCCATGCCTAAGGCTCTCCCTGCAGGGAAATATTTTCAGATATTTACTCCCACCAATGACAAAAATCTTTGCCTAATTTAGAGTCACATTAATCAGGCAATTATAATGCTATCCACTCATCTATCAGAATTTCTTTTAATAAAAAGGAGGAAATTCTCTCGTTCATTAGAGAAACATCTTGACATGATATACGTGTATTGGGCAGTTGGCAAGTGGCAAATACTGCTGGATCGCATCCAGCATCACTGTACCAGAACGATACACCATACAAGTGCATGTACCCACCCAATTCACACTGCTCTCATGCATCAGTATGAGTATGCATCAGTTGGTTCGGCTGGGGAACCAACTAAACCAGCCCAACCCACGTATGAACAGGCTGAATTCAATTGCTGAAATTTTGCCATACATGCGTGCAGAAAAGGATCACATGAGAACGATGAATAGCACTTTGCTAACACTCGCATAAGTCATCAAACCCTCACACTGACAACTCCTTTTCTTAGTAGTGGAAGAGTCAAAAGAGAGTCCAAGAGAGAGGGGATTAGACGAAAGAGAGAAAATGATGATCGTATTGGAACATTTTTAAATAAAAAAATATAACTTGCTTGATACAACAAGAAGTGCTACCTAATTCCCACAATGTTGAACGAATGTTGTTTAAAATATCAGCAAAACTTAAGCATTAACAGGTATATGAAATTTAGTGATAACATGAACTAGAGCACTTGTCGGAGTCTAGACATTCAACCATTCAAGCATTGAGGCTTTTGTCTTCCTTCCTCTATCTTTCAAAAAATCCACTTCTGACACAGTTATAATTTTTACTTCACAAATCTGGCCCTTTGTTTGAATTTTGATTCTTGGCTCTTTGGGAAGATCGCCAATAGGGACTTGGACAGAATGGATCACATGAGAAGGATATGATACAAAGGATCTTATGCTATTATTTTCCATAACAATACTAGGAGGAGCACCGTTTGATGCTTCAATTAATAGTGACTAGGACACGGGAATGGGCAAGACCTCAGCCCTCGATGGCAAAGACAACTGATGCTTGCGCAATAAGAGCAGGAACGATTGTTCACCAAGAATAGGACAAGAAAGGTGGAGAATATGTCAATGTGAAGAAATATCTGAAACAAAAACGTGCTAGTTGATAAGACTAGGAAGGTGCTTGGCCAATGGGGTAGGCAGCAAGGCACGTGTATATTTGTGATATATCGCTTATCAGAGTTCGTGTGTACTGTAACAGTGTGACACAGAGAAGTAGAGAACCATAGAGAACAAAACAATTTATATTGTTATACTATTTGTTCCTGCTATAAAAAAAAATGTCTGTCCTGATGTTAATAAGAGCACACTGATCAGGTAGGCTCTAGTGTTTTCAACTATCCTCTTCCTTTTTTGTGGCCATCCTTAACGAACAAGGAATGTGCATAACACTATGGTTAAATTGTACCTAACTGGAAATGTTTACAAGTCTTATCGAAGGGCATTTTATACACCCTTAAATTGAATTGCACAGTGTTTTCTAATGTTGTACTACCACTGTATCTATATTGATTTTAGTATCACATAATGTAAAATGTTCAAATCTTTCTAGTGCCTGTGTCTATTCACCTGTCATGCACTATTCTCGATGTTAGTTTTGAACAGATGAAACATTGTCAACGTTGGTCTTTTATTCTATTTATCTAAGGATGTCAAACATGATGGTATTAACGTAAAGAACACTTATACACTTGGTATTATAGAAATTAGGATATGTGAGTTAGGGCGGTCACATGTCAGTTAGGCCTTACAATCAGTTAAAGGGTTGGCTGAGCAATCTAGCACTATATATGGTTTTCAGTGGCACTGTCTGCCATTTTGGCACTAAAAGACATCTCTACACACCAAATGCTGAAAAATATGCATTAAAAGAACATGTTTCACTACTTTATTGTGTTACCACATACCAGGCAAAAGTACGACAGACTCCTCCTTTACCAACTTGCTGCAGAAATCGATGTCGTCACAAATGTCCGATAATTGTGATATATCAAGTTTTACCTGAAGAACATATGGTCAGCATTAATGCTATAAGAAATATTAATTATTTTTTGTGATTGCCTCACCATCATAAAAAACGACCCCTCAGGTTTGTGAGGACAGGTGATACACTTTATTTCTTTTATTTCACCAAAACATATCTCAGCAGTTTCCTTTAACAACTCGAGAGTCTTTCTGAAGAATTCATCATTTGTGTTCTTCATAATATGAGGAATAGCTCCCTGGTGACGATAATTATATAACATCAATGTTGGGCTATTTTCAATCATTCAGAAAAAAAAAAGAGACATGATCCGCACTACAGTTACAACTGAAAATAAAACAGGAGGGTTCATCCATTGATCATAACAAAATAATGCTCAGAACAGCAATCTGTGGAAGAATACATCATTAAGCTAGCAATTTGCACCAAAAATGTAGTTGTCTTAGAACAAGAAAGGAGAATAGAGAGGGAGTTCTACCTCATCAATTATAAATATGAAACATGATGTGCTGAAGAGATTCCCTACTAATTGATGTAAAAAGGAAGATTAAGTAACTCATTGACAGAATGTCATCAGACCTTTTATTTCTCGAACAATGTCATCACCTCTAGACTAGTCCATATCACTATATTCATAGTTGTGTGTTTGTTGTAATCATATTAAGTGTCAAGTGCTCAGGTATTCACGTTTTACATTATTAATGAATTTGGGTCAATAAAATAGCCAAAACACATATAATATAACACTTTTATAGGATAAGGACTAAAATTTCTTTGTAGTTAAGAGGTCTTTAATATGAACCTGAGACCTCCAAATAACAGAATACAGAACAGGTACAAAGATAAAAGAAAGAATATAAGGAAAATTGAATCAGAAGATTTGCCATGAGCCCATGACGCAAATCAAGCTTGCTGCATACTTATGTGATAAGGAATTTTTGTTTCCATACCACTGAAATATCACTTTTTTCATATATGCTGCTGATTTTCTAGTGCACACACCACCAAAATTGTCTGATGTTCCCTCTTTTAGCAATACCATCTAGTATCGTTGACTTTTTTACATATTCTCTCTTTTATTTCACCAGAGATACATGAAAAATGTCTTTATACCCCAGCAGGCCAACGCGCTTGCCACACTTCTCATTGCATGGTGCGGCACGCTGGCACCCTCATTTCCCGGCACACCACACTGCCCTACCCTGTCGTGTGCTTATTGGTCGGTTCATGCGATCTGATTCGGAACCTGTGGGCACATGAAACCTGAAGCTGCCCCTATTCCCCACCCACGCAGGAATGATGTGCTAGTGAAATATGGAGAGATGGATCTCGACCTTGCTTTAGTTAGTTCTGACTCCAATTTGCTTGGTCTGGAGAATAGTCAAGATGCTCCAACAGTATGTACTAATGCTATTTCCAAAACATTGTGATCACTTGGATTACATTTCAAAATTTTGATCACTCTGAGCTAAATCCAACTTGCTGCTGCTTAAAACGAATATTACTAACAGTTACCACTCTTGCTAGCTAATAAGACCAACAGAATAATGAACATGGATGTTGGGGCCAAAGAAGATGGACACAGCGCCATTGCTGCATGCAGCAGCCAGCTGCCAAGAAAACCGAGTGATGCGGAGTTGCAGATAACAGCGATCTGGCAATGACAGTGAAAATGAAGATGCAGGAGGATGCTAGGCAGCATCCATGGCAAAGGCACTGTAACAACGACATATAAATGTCACCTTGCACAAGACTGGATTCACCAGTTAAATCCTCGGTCGAGGAATCCAGAAAATTTGATGCGGGAGAACAGTGATGCAGATGATTTTTAGCCTCTAAGAGTGAGGAGTTTGAGTTCACAGAAAAAAAAGGCAAACATAACGGTAGTTGTAAAACAGGAAATGGTGGACAATTTTGGTGGTATTAAAGTTCACCACAAGATTTTAGTGGTAAATAACAAAGTTCTCATATATCAGTTATAAACCCAATTTTTCAATATAAGAGACAATAGTACAACAACTAAGAGAGCACCTGTCAATCATATCAAGTAACTATGCTAGCTTACAAAAGTAGGAAATATGTACACTACTATAAAAGACACTAGTAGTGGTGGTAGTTCTGCCACCACCACTACTTTTGTGCTTTTACACATTAGTCCCTAATATATTCTGATAGTATACAATAGTCTAATATTTGTTTGACTCAAGTGAATACCATATAAAATAAGAAAACAAGTAATACTAGCATTTGGCATTTTACGGGGAAATAGTAGTATCATATTTGATAAAACTAGTAACATTCCCCTAAGTTGTAACGGGCCAGGCCCATATAAGTACGGATTTGCTAATGCATGCCTAGTCGCGCGCGTCCCCCCCCCCCTCTCCCAACACGCGACGAAGCCACGTGGTGTGCGCGGAGAGGGAAGGGGTGCTTTTTTCCCCTTTTTTGGGTTTTTATACATACATATACAAACTTTGTATACATGACCTTTTTTTTTGTTTCTTTTCGTTCTTCTTCTACGTACGTATACAAAGTTTGTACTTTTGTATATGTGTATATATATTTTTATACGTCAAAAATGTATGTGTATACATACAAAAAATTGCTATAGATATATATACAAAGTTTACACATATTTTATCGTATATACACATATATATATACACTTTATATACATATGTATATATACGTATACGTATAGAATCTAGATGGGGTGGGCTGGGCGATCAGGCGCAGATCAGCGGCCCCCATATAAGTAGGGATGTGCTATATAAGACATTGGATCCAGTGGTTACCTACGCACCCTACGCATGCGAGCGCGGTGTACGCGGTGGGAGGAGAACGACTCCACCTTTAAGGTAATACAGAAAAATATATTTTATCCATGACATATTGTTATATATTTTCTTTTACCCCTATCAAAGCATAAGGGCATTTTGCTAATCTGCCAAAAGTAAGCAAGCTAGCTACCAAGGTACTGATAATTTGATATGAGACTTATGAGTCCATAAAATAACCTGAATAAATGTTGCAGGACCTGTTGTTAGGTTTCGAAAGCTTCTGAGTGAATCGACGACCTAAAAATTGAAAAGGAATGGTGCCTTCAGTTATGTATCAAACATTCAGCAAAGGTATTAGCTAAGCAATCACACAGAAAACTAATTCAAGGAAACAACACAAAAAGCCTCCTTTAAAGTATTTCCATGATACTAAATAGGATGATTCCTCACAGATTATTTGTGTTGATTCCATCTCCACCAGAGCAAATACAAAAACCGTATAAATGATACAGTAAAAAGTCCATTAAAAAAGACACACGGTAAAAAAATTAATTAACAGGACACATAATCACTAGCATGTTGAATATAGCCTCTTCCAACTCTAAGTTGCTAACTCAAAGCATCTTTATGCCTTTACTCTCAGTATTCAAAATTCTCTTTCAACCCTTCTGAAATTACCTCAACATGATTGGATGAATTATAAGAATTTAGTGATAAATATTTTATTTCCCTACCAGATCTGAAGCATTGGTTATATATCAATAACTAAAGTTCCAATTGCCGGATGAAACAGGTTCTAATAGAGAATTGTGGACTAAAAGAACATGAATAATGAGTAAAATGATACTTCATATGCTACATCTTTCACCCCTTTTTGTTTAACAAATAATGGAAATGTGTTTTACACCTCCAGCCTCTACACACAGCCGACTAGACAATATGAAATTATGAAAGACATAGGGCAGCTCCCTGGTTCTACTAATGTGAAAGAAGATTGACAAGGTTTAAGTTACGTCTCACAAAGGAAATGTGAATTCATTTAAAGTATAAAATACTACTCCCTCCGTCCTAGAATATAACAAGATTTAGAGTTGGACACGGTTATTAACAAAGTAGGTAGAAGTGGGTGGTGAAGGGTTGTGATTGGATGAGTAGTGGAGCTAGGTGGGAAAAGTGAATTGTGGAGGGTTGTGATTGGTTGGGAAGAGAATGTTGGTGGAGAAGTCGTTATATTTTGGGACAAATCCTGAGAGCTAAAAATTGTTATATTTTGGGACGGAGGGAGTACTACGCATCACAAAAAGTAAACAGTGTGCTTAAAAAAATGTACAAATCACCTTTGTTTCTTTCAGAATGCCTTTAGGATCACAAATTGCTATCCATCCAAATCTCCAGCCAGGGACAACCCATCTCTTTGATATAGCTCCCAATGTGAGTACTGGAACAGTCTCTCCAAACACACCCATTGGCACAAAAGGAGTGCTTCCATAAACAAGGTGACCATATACTTCATCAGCAATGACTAACAGACCGAACTTGCTTGCTGTATCTGCAATCTAAGTTAAGATACGGCACATAAGCTCCATTGAAATTGGAACAAATAAAATGAAGTAAGGTGTTACCCAGCATTGTACAGCCATCATACCAACCTTGGACAGATGCTCATAAGTGTACACATTACCACAAGGGTTATTGGGGTTAGTAATCACTATTGCAACAGTATTCTCATCTGCTAAAGCTTCAACAGCTTCAACATTAATCTCCCATCCTCTCTCTGGAACAAGATCATAGAGCCGCACTTCCATCCTGTGGAACACCGCATGTGCTTCATGTTTTGGGTACCCGGGCTTTGGAAGCAATATATTGGCACCTGGTTGGCCAAAAACAGACATAACAATCTCGATTGCTTGGGTACCTCCAGATGTGAGGAAAATATCATCTGTGCAAAGCTTGTAAGGAAGATCACAGGATAGGTACTCTGCAATAGCTCTGGATTTCAACAGAAAATGGCAACAAAAGCAACACAGAGAATGTTTATTAGTACAAACAAGGATTTTCACTTTTCCATATACTGGTGAAAGACTATCAGCAATTGCTTAATCATGAGACATGCGTGATTAATTTAAATATGTTCCCGCATTCTTTACATGATTTCACATACAGTATTCATCCCCGTTCTTTAAATATGTTTGATTAATTTAAGTATGTGTGATTATTATGTTTGAATCGAAGCCATATAGACTGATTAATATGCCAATTTAACTGTTAACGGCAGTGAAGGATTTGATCAAAAAGAATTTAATAAGCTATAAGCAGTTGTTGATATTTGAATAGATAAATTATACTGTTTCAGAATTGACGACAGATTACGGGCCTGTTTAGTTCCCAAACAAAATTTTTCACGCTGTCACATCGAATGTTTGGACACATGCATGAAGTATTAAATGTAGACAAAAAAAAATAAAACCAATTACACGGTTCGCTAGGAAATTGCGAGACGAATCTTTTAAACCTAATTGCGCGATGATTTGACAAGGTGGTGCTACGGTAAACATTTGCTAACGACAGATTAATTGGTCTTAATAAATTCGTCTCACAATTTCATGGCAGAATTTGTAATTTGTTTTGTTATTAGACTACTTTTAATACCTCTCAAATGTGTGTCGATGTGACATACAGGGGCAAAAATTTTTGCCAACTAAACAAGCCCTACGATAACTGAAAAGATAGGGCAGATTAGTTCTACTCTGAGCGCACAGATAAATCAAGGACGACCCAAGTACAGAACCACCTATAGGGGATTCAGTTAAGGCAAATCCAATCATGAGTGGACAGTGGGCACCGACCGGCGAGCAGGGAGGCTGGTGGCGGGGGAGGAGTAGCCGTTGTAGTCGCCGGAGCGGACGGCGGCGGCGACGGCTTCCTCTGCCTCGGGCGCGGTGCGGAAGCAGGCGGAGGAGGAAGGGTCGCCGTGGCTGAGCGGGATGACGGGCCGTGGCCCGTTCTCGTCCAGGCACGCGTGCAGCTGAAGGAGGTACCGCTGGATGCTGCGTTCCCCGGCCGCGGCCACGGCCAGATTCGGGGTCGCGAAGCGCCATCGCTTCCCCCCGCGGCCGCCCTCCATCGCCGGAGTCACCGGAGTTTGGGGGATGTGGCCAGCCAGGGGTGACACGGAGACGGAGGCTGGTTTTGGGCCTTTGGCTTACGAAAGCGACTTTTATTTGTCTCGCCGGAAAAGGAAAAATGAAAAGGTCCCGTATTACTAAACGAAAGCGACGTGTCATTGTTCGGCTAGTTTTGTTGTTTTGAATTTAATTGTTCGTCTAGTCCTGGTTGTATCATCAATAAAACTTAAGGTTTTTTTAATACCATTTCAGATGAACTGCCACGTGCTGTCTTGCTACTGTAGAAACTACAATCATTGCATGTTGTCCACACCTTTCGATTGTGGCTGCAAGCATCTCTGCCCTTAAGCGTGTCTTCCCAGGAAGCCTCGGCTGCTCTCCAGGGGGGTCTATTTTTTTCCCCACCGGATGATTCATCCCCCAGCTTCTCTTTCTGCATGCAGTCCACACGCTTCCTCCGTCGATCCATCCAGCGCCGCCGCCGGCATCGCCGTCTCCCTTGCCCAGTGTGTTTTTGCGCCTTCTTTGGCTTAGCTGTGGACGGCCGCGGTCTTCTGCTCGGTGATTTCGTCTCCACCATCTCCATTCCATCTGTCCACGGCCGTCGCCATCCACGAGCTGCAGCAGCCTCTCCTCTCCCAGTGACAGTCCACTCAGTTGCGCCACCACCGACGACCTTTTGCTTGACCGGTTGGTTCTCCGGTGGCCATCGCCATCACGTGAGGGAGCAATGCCCTCTTTTTCCCACGGCAGTCCTGGCAAGAAAATCCTTCTATCCCCACTGTTGTACAGAAGAAACCCTTAGGCCCTTGGAAATGTCGTTCTTTGATTTATTATGTACCACCATGACAGATTTCCTTGACCTGTATTTTTAATGGTGCAAGTTACTTATTGTCAAGCATGTGATTCAATAATCCCTACTAATTAAGCATTTTCTAATTGAATTTGACCTGCTACAGTGGTTATGGGATAGTTGCCTGCTGCCCCAAGTCCACAACATACACATATTAAAGGTGTCCATATTTAGATTCATGCTTAGCTTTCCATAATACTCCATTGTGTACTCATCTGCTGGCTTTATGATTTTGTTTTGCCATTTTGTATAAATATCTAGGAGTGGTTTGGTGATTGGGATGGATGTGGTGCCTGACACTCTAACACCAACACCATTTTCTCAGCTAACTAACTTAGGGACAAATGAGACAGAGAACAGGCTAGGTGCTACTCCTACGCATTATTCGCATATTCAACTTTCTTTGCATTTTCTCAATTCTCAACTACAGTTTTCTTACGTTGAGCGGAAAACTTATTGATGATTTATTTCTTTGTCTTCTAGGTGCTCCTAACAGTGAAAGCTCTAATCATACCATATCTTTTATCTCAACTCCTGAAATAGGGATCTCCATGTCAGTGTTTCGTCATCCATTTCGATGACCTATTAACAGGAGGCTTGCATTTAACCCTGTCAATCCTGCTACTCCAATAGATTAACACTTTGTCTCCTCATTAGATGGCCCAACAGTGCCAGGTGTTCAGTCCCTTCCTGCAGTGCGCGGTAAAGGTAAGCCCCTCTATTAAGAATTACTCTCTATGTGATTGTGCTCAAACTTGCTATACTACCATTGTACCATTTTAGATTCATAAATGCCAGTTCAGGTACCTGTGCCATAGTATCATATATCTATATAGAAGATAATAATCCTACGTACAATTTGCCCATGTTAATGTACTACCTTCGCCCCATATTACTTGTTGCCTTGAGTTTTTTTTAATGTTTGATTATTCGTCTTATTCAAAATAAACTTAGAATTATTATTTATTTTATTTGTGACTTATTTTATTATTAAATGTAGTTTACTTATCATTTTTTATATTTGCACTAATTTTTCAAATAAAACGAATGGTCAATCATTACAAGTAAAAAGTCAAAACGACAAGTAATATAGGATGGAGGTAGTATTGTTCCTAGCTAGGGCTAAAAATGGTCGGACCATATACCATTTTTATTTTCATACTGTTTTCTCGAAAACGGTATCAGAATGGTAGACACAAAAATACTAATAATAGTCATATAAATACTAATGATAGTTATATCGGTATATCAGAAACGGGACTGTCGGAACAGAATCTTCGGAAGTCGAAAATTCATGTCAAAATAAGCGGAGTATGGCATAGCACACATTTAACTATGCATGCATATGACTTTATAATTTCATTCTTGCATCATCACACTACACGTGACACCGTTATATGATGATTAATGATATTGATGATAAGTTCGATGAATAATATAAACAAAATTCAACGATACATCAACATTGATAAGTTGAGGAGACCAAAGTTCAGCAAAATCCACGTACCACGTCCTAGGTTTAACAGCATTTTCCCGTGGTCACTTCTGCTTTCTAATGGGCTAAAAGCTTGCCAGGTTTTCATCATTCATAGGTTTCCAATAGGTTGGGATGGCTGAGCCATTCGGGAACTTTCGGCATTTTGATGAAAATTACCAGACAAATATGGTTACTGACAAAACAGTGAGAAAAACCTCCATCCATTTCCGCTACCATTTTCGAATAATATTAAGTTTCTATTTCCAACACCGATAGTTATCAATACTGACTGAAACGATCGGTGTAAACTGGAAACCATAGCCGAAATCTCGGAAATTTCCGTACCGTTTTCACCCCTATTCCTAGCTAAAGCACATCACTATCGTCCGTCTGATCCACCGCACAAAGAGCGAAGGAGCGATCTAGCCATCCGTTATGAGAGCCTACCTCTTTCGTGTCGATCCCCTCCTCCCGTCGCAGAAATTGCCACTGCTATGGCCACCTCCGCCACTGCCACTCTTTGCCAGCGTGGTCCTTGGTTGCTCCTATTCATCTTCTCCGTCGAAGCAGTGTCCATGCCGAGGGGTCATCGGCACGGGCGATCCCCTCCTTCCCTTGCAGAAATTGCAGCAGCCATTATTGCTGCCTCCATGTCGTCCCAATCGTCTACCCCCACCTCCACGGCGCTAACGTCCATCTCCTCTAGGCCGTCGCCATCTTCCGCTCAACCCTATGGCCGTGGCCTCTAAGACTGCCGCTGGGTCCGTGCTACTGTTCCGCCTGTAGGACGAGGACCTCAAAAATTGGCACGCTGACTTCGTCAATGCTGACTAGCCAGCCTCTTCGACTCCTCTTGGTCAATCCTCCACCATAATTACAATTAGGAAATGATGATTTCATTAACAGTCTGCCACAATATTGTAGTTTGTCTTCTTCGCAAGCAGACTAGCTAGAAGAAGCTGGACAAGAGGTCAATAAATAATATATGCAGGAGTGATATACCAAACGGTATTATTTGCATGTTTGACACTACAGGTTCAACATATTATTGGATAACGACCATAAACATATGAAAAGACTGACTTGCAAAAATGGCGTGCCAATGCGGGTCACGGACGACGTTGAACCGAACGAGAGTACGAGACAAAGCACAGCAGATTAATTAGTTGTCATCCACTGCTCTGGTGGAATATCCGAGCTAGTACAGCTAATATGACAGGACCAAGTGAATAACCGGTCCTAGTATTTTTTTTCTTAATAATAGAATGATTTACAAACCTACTACCTTCATCTAAAAATAAATCAACTTTTATAGTTCGTATACAATAGTTGAAAAGGAGTACAATGAATTCTGAAACTGAAATGAAATATGTGAGGTTATCTGGCAAACCTGCTGTTTGATGAAAACAAAACAATGAACACATAGAAAATAGGGAAACCCTGTATTTTATTAATCATGATTCATTAACATGAATGTTTACAAATACATGAGGGCTCCCGCAGGAGTTCGCCTTTTGCCTTCGCGAGGAATGCTTAATGGAAATGTATGCTGACTGGAGATTGCGTGTAGTCCGCTGATTCCCGGCGCCTAGCAATGAGACTACCGGTTAATTACATCCACAGGAGCGAGCCTATCGAACACCTCCGATTAAGCTACGCTTTATGATCGTCGTCTTCAAAGTTGTTTGCTCGCCGAAGGTTGAGGTTAGTGCAGACTTAATGTTGAATATAGTGAATGTGGAACGGGTGGTTTCGTTTCGCCAAAACCTGGTCACAGTACACTACCATCACGTCGGTGTGCGGAGGGAATTTGGTGAAGGGGTGACCTTTGCCTCGTCGGTGCCCAGTCATGTACCCCGGCCTTCATCAAACATGGATTTTGTGGTTGCTTTGCCTCGTCGGTGCCCAGCAACGGTGTATCCGGTTCCCGTCCATTTTAGACGTGTTAATAATGTAGTGACCTGGCCTTGTCGGCACTCAGCCATGGTTTCGTCTAGCCTCATCGGTTATAGACAAATGAAATGAGTGAATGGCTATAGCTTTGTTAGCTTTGGCCAATATGTCGTCCGGCCTCATCGGTCTCGGACATAGCATAAATAATGATAAATCGGCCATTTCATCTCGTCAACATTCGGCCATGATGTCGACGTGTGTTTTAAATCTGCATGCCCCGCCCTCCTGGCTAGCATTGTTTTTGTTGTCTTCAAGAATTTTGAGAGTCACCCCATGCATCTGATAGAATTTAGAGAGAGAAGAAATTGCTCTCGTACATGACATGCACGAGGCAAATCTATAACTCTTTCGGCATGAATATAAATATATATAAATCATGGTTGGTCCGATGCCAATAATTAAGGCTCAAACTTATCCCAAGTTTATATAAATAAATATCCACATCCAATATTTGATATTGATAATTTAGACGGTCCAACCCTCACGAGGGTCAGGCTCGCCTTGTATTTATTTGCAGCTCATGTTAATCGCTTGACAAAGATGACGTGTGCGTGTGCATGCGCCGCTGGGGATACTTATATCCATGGCTACAAGTTCACAACGCATCCACGACATATTCATCAGTACTCCACTTTACTGTTTTACCGTCTCAACTGTGCATCTACACAATGCTACGGTGTATATTTGCTCCCTCTAAGAGATGATGCCGGGCTATTAATAATATCTGCACAGCACTACGGCGTTGTTGTGTTATCTTGGATAAGCAGCTTGATGGAGAACGAGATCAGCTTGTTGCTGAAGACTCGCCGATAGAGGTGCCATCAGTGCATGCATCTTGTTGCTGATCTGCGATCACGCACCCTGTGTCATGCGCATGCATCTTCTTTCTGATCTCTCTGTGAATATATGTGGGTGCGGGTGTGTACCTATAGGGCATATTGCTACTTAATGGCGCAGCGCTTGCGCCCTGTGTTTCTCTCCTTCTCCTTCACGAGGGACGGAGTCGGTGCCTTTTATAGGCAGAGCTAACGATGGATGGATCAGGCTGAGACTCTCAACCGCGTCCGCAAATCTTGGGCTAATCACGCTTAAATATTTGATCTCCTCCGGATAATGGACATGCTTAACAAACATGGTACTTAATTAGCAAGCAAATAATACGCTGATGACAGTGGCCCTGGACATCATTTGCACGCCTTGGGTGTGCTTGCCGATAATCTAAATATAATCGTCATTAATCTGACGTGATTATCAAAAGCAACCAACCAACCATATGGCTAGCACTAGTCAATTTTCTCCCCCATATAATCTTTGATAGCTCATACTTTTCATATGATATATCCTATTCAAAATCCGTTTGTACTTATGGTCTCTACTCAAAATATAGAACAAAACGAGTCCAATATTGATTATATTTGGATGTAGCGTGATATTTGAATTTTTCTGGACCCATACATCATAGAGACACGCCTCACATGTATTCAGTAAAATTGGGCTGCGAATAATATTCTCATATAAAATTAATGCCCAATAATTTATTATTTCTTCTATGAATTTTTAGCACAAAAATTCATCAAACACCTGGCCCCATCTCCCACCAAATGGTAACCAGCTGAGTCACTTAAAATAAAAACTAGAGAAACTCGGCAAGAAAATTCTATAGAAATAACTACTAGAAAAATAATTTTTACCGACGTTGGTTTTTTACTTTTCCGGATGGAAAAAAAATCCTCTTATAACCGTTTGCAAAAATAGCTAAAGAGCCTCTAGATTTAGCCCCGCCTGCGAAAATCATGCAGCTTCTATTCCCATCAACCCGGAGCTTATTTCGGTATCTATGGAGTCACTTATCATAGAATAAATATGCAGCTGAAGAAGATCCCTGGTCGTCCAGCTTTTTCAGCCTCATGCATTGCTGTATTTGATCTCGTCCTCTCTGTGTGACTGTGTGCATGTGCTGTCTGTGGGTACTTGGTTTAATCCTCTATGGTTTCCACTGTCTGGACTTGGATTGCCATGTACTTGTGTGTTTGATTGTGTGTACTGCTCCAGTTATGCATGCCATTGGGTGGTGTTGGATGTAGGGTGTGTTCAGTATTCGCCTGCGTGAGCATGAACACCACTAGTGCTTTGTATTATACTTTTACTTTGTGCTCTTCTCAGTCTGACATATATTTGTCGATCACAGAAAGGCATTTGATAGTATAAAACCAATCTCCCCAACAAAGATGGATATCCATTTGATATTGAAGTAGTGAGTTTAAAAAATGAATTTATTTTGGGATAAATAGGAGAGGAAAAACAAACTTATTCTCACACATAGGAAGAACTCATGAATACATGATAGTAAACCTAGTTATATTTTGGATTCATTTTTCTTATTCTTGTGGGCCTGGTCTTATAAGTCTCATCTTCTAATTGACCATTTGGAATTGTTGGAATTTATACGCAGACGATGCAGCGGTCTTCATGAACACGACCAAGAGCGATGTAAGGGCTTTCATTGACCTTCTGACTCGCTTCGGCAAGGTATCGGGTCTTTGCACAAATCTGCAAAAATCGCAGGTAGCGCCAATCAGGTGTGATGGCCTGGACCTTGATGACATCTTGGACGGAATACTAGCTACTAGAGCCTCCTTTCCAGTAAAGTACCTAGGACTCCCTCTTTCCACCGGAAGGTTGCGTAAATGTGACTTCCAGCCGCTCTTCGACAAATCTATGAACTATATAGAAGGATGGCGAGGGAGGCATGTTGGTCTCGCAGGTCGATCAACCTTGGTAAAAGTCGTCCTTACGTCCCAACCAATCTTCCTGCTGACGGGCTTGAAAGCATCTAAGGAATCCCTTGAAATTCTGGACAAACAACGAAGGCAATTTCTGTGGGTTGGGAATGAAACCGTCACTGGGGGAAGTGCAAGGTAAATTGGACGCGTACCTGCCTACCTACTGCCTCGAGAGGGCTTGGCATCCTAAATCTCAAGAAATTTGCAAGGGCCCTCCGTCTGAAATGGCTCTAGCACGAATGGAAGTCACCAGAAAAGGCTTGGGTGGGGTTAGAAACGCCTTGCGATGAAACAGACATGCTGTTGTTTGCTGCTGCAACAACAATACAAGTTGGCGACGGAGCAAAAGCAAGTTTCTGGGACTTGGCTTGGCTATAGGGGAGAAGACTAAAGGATGTCGCACCACTAGTCTACGTAGCCTCCAGAAAAAAGAGCAGGACTCTCCAACAGGCCGCTCAGATGGACCAATGGCTGCTTGACCTTGCTCTACCAACAACCGAAGGGTGGACAACGGAGCTAATCGACCAAGTCATTGCCGTTTGGAGCGCCATTCGAAGTGTGCAATTTACGGATCAAGAAGACTAGATCACTTGGAAGCTAAACAACCACGGTGAATACACAGCCTCCTCAGCCTATAAGGCACAAATCCTTGGTACAACATCGTCAAATTTTGACAACCTGATTTGGAGACCTTGGGCGCCGCGCAAGTGCAAAACCTTTGCCTGGTTGATTCTCCAAAACATAGTGTGGACTTCGGATAGATTAGCAACCAGAGGCTGGCCAAACGGATCCACATGCCCGCTATGTCGTCAGACCCAAGAGACGGCTCATCACCTGCTAGTGGATTGCAGATACACTCGGAGAATTTGGAATGAAATAGCACATTGGACTGTCAATGGACACCTAAGTCCTCAACTCTGGTGAGCAACGTCTACGTTACATGAGTGGTGGGAGGCCATCGTGAGTACAAGAGAAGCACCAAAGAAGGCACTACGCACGTTAACTTTGCTAATGGCCTAGGGGATCTAGAACAAAAGAAACCGAAGGACTTTCCAACACAAGGAGTTGCCGGCATCAAATCTATTATCCAAGATAAAAGAGGAAGCAAAAACGTGGAGCCTTGCGGGTGCGAGAAGCCTCGCTGCCTGGCTGGCACTGTAATTAGCCTTTTCGGCAGGGTTGCAGCCCTGCTTTTGCTTTTGTAAAGTTTCCTTTTGTACAGTTTCCTTCTTCTCTTTTCAATGAAATTGGCGGCCTCGATGATTCGTTCAAAAAAAAATCTTTCTTAATATCAACTTCTTTTGCCAATCTTTTTCAGCCTCTTCTGGCTGTAGTGGCAACAGATCTTCGCTCGATGTACTTATTGTCAAGGTCTGATTTTTCAACTTGAAGCTGTATACTTTTATTGTGCTCTATCCTTTTGATGTAATTTTGTAGTTCACTCGTCCTTTGATTCACCGTGTATCACAAAATATCTCCGTCTTTTATCATTGTTATACTCAGCTTGCTTCCTTTTTTTAGTATAGTTTCATCAGTACAATCTTCCAGTTGAGGATCTGTTGTTGTTTACCAGGTGTGCTTGCTTTTATCTCACCAAGTTTTCTTGACAATCTTTTTCCTCTCTTTTTGGCTGATATAGTTCCATGCATTGCTATTTTCTAATTGAGCATCAACTTGTTTTTTTAGAAACGCTTGCTTTTTTTCTCACCAAGATTTCTAGTCAACTTTTTCCCTATCCTTTTGCATATAATCATCTATTATAACAACAGATAAAATAGAAATACATATAATCATCCAATATTTATAGTGTTTTAAATTTTCCTCGCTGCAATGCGTGAGGTATGGACACACACACCTCCTTACAAACCAACCCAACTTCCCTCCCGACCTCCACACGTGCGCAGCCCCACCACTCGCGCCTGCCTCCCCTCCCGGCGCCCTCCTCTCCCCTCTCCCGCGATCCCGGAACCCTTCTCTTTCTTCACTTTTTTCTCTCCCTCCCTTCTCTCATTTTTTTTCTCCCACCCTCGCGCCTCCTCTCCCCTCTCTTGCGATCACGGCACCCGTCCTCCCTTTCTTCGCTTTTTTCTCTCCCTCCCTTCTCTTATTTTTTCCCACCCTCGTGCCTCCTCTCCCCTCTCCAGCGATCCCGGCACCCCTCCTCCTCTATCTTCGCTTTTCTTTCTCTCCCTCCCTTCTCTCATTTTTTCTCCCGATAGAAAACTGTCACGTCCAGAAATTCCCGAATAGAATTCCAAGCAGAATGTGCATTAAACCCCCTGTCCAGAACCGGCCAGGGTACACAAACGACAAAGTTGACATACAGATCCACGTCTTACAAACATTATAAAAGTCTTACATAAATGCAGTGGAAATATAAAAGATAACTAGAGCTAAGTCTGGACTTGGATAGCAGCGGGAACACCACTCCACAGGCATCCTCGACGGCACGGACAAAGCCTACTCCTCGGAGAAACCACCATTGGACGCATACTCGAACTCTGAGGGTTGGGAGATAGAGCAAGACTGAATACTTCCTACTGTACTCAGCAAGTCATACCGGAACGGAGGGTATGATGCAATATATAACCAAAGGAAGGCTAAAAGGGGATCATTTGCACAAAGCTAGCATTTATAAACAGTAGTTGAAAGCAGTAAAACAGTTCTAATAATTAATCAATATTAACCATCCACTGTCCAATGCTACACCATGTTGCAACAGGCCCAACCATCCACCTGAACTAATCAATTCCATTAGACTAAACTAGGGTGAGACTAATCACAGTGAATCTGGTTGACCGCCCATAACCGCGGGCACGGCTATTCGAATAGTTTTACTCTGATCAGAGGTGTACAACTGTACCCACAAGACATAGCCCCACAACACGTTTCCGTCCGCCGGCATGCCACCACGACATACCGGAAAGAGACCGTGACAGGACCCTTTGCATAACCTCCTCTAACCAAACACACCACACCTCAGGTTTCACCCCCACTACTCGCAAGGCAGCGGGCAGTCCCCTCTCGTGCCTAGGTGAATCCGGAAGCGACAAAGGCCGTCGCAGGGCCCATCCCGCTCCATCACGCCCACCCTTGCCTGGATGCGTCAGCTAGAGGAAAGCTACACTACAAGCCCAACCGTTGCCCAAGCTGGCTTGTGGTAAGTACGATAAGTTCTTCTAGGGCATCCCGCGAACCGGTACTTAACTGCCATGGGCGCGACCATCAAAACCATACACCCACAGCCAATCATTTAGCATATTTTAGTTAACCAACACCGGAGCGGTGGCACTAAACCAACATCAATACTAGAATAGGAAGTCTAAGTGTTAATGTAAATCCCCCATTGTGTGCTAGTTGAGCTAAGCATGGCTAAGCAATCCCTAGTCCAACAGCTACTCATGTTATAACCCCAAGCTAACAAAGGAACAAGGTAACAAATAGTATGGCTGAGACAATAGGTAATCATCCCATGGTATCATTATAAAACAATGCAATATTTAAAGGAGAACAATAAAGCATTTGCAATGTGGGATCACCATGTTCAAGTGACAAGCATGACTTGCCTTGCTCTGCGGCTGGAGGAATCTCGGCGACTATCTCTAAGTACATCGGAGCGTCGGGAGAGCCGAAATCTATGCGACATACAAGGCAAACAATACAAACAGGCTATAAGACTACTGAAACAGAGAACAAATATTTTTAATGGATTCTTTGCATTTTTCTTGATTTACTGAGACTTGAATGGGCTTAAACGAAGCACGGATGAATTTTCTATGAATTTTAGAAGATTCACTGTGTTTTTACTATAAAAGAAAAAACCTTAATTGGATTATTGCGCATTAAATAACCCCGACATGCGGGCCCCACATGTCATCGGCACAAGACGCCGGTCCACGGTGGACCGAGTCCACGGGATCGGGGAAAAGGACCACCACGTGGCGCCGACGTGGCACCGATGTGGCGGCCACATGGGCCGCCACGCGGGCAGCGGAATGGATGGCCCCGATCTACAAGGGGGTAGATCGGACGGCGGAGGCGGCGCACGCGCGGGTGGCTTAAGCCGGCCCGGCGGCCTGGCGTGCGGCGGCATGGCATGCGGTGGCGCGGCGGCAAGCGGCGGCGGCGCAAGCTGGCCCGACGACGGCAAACGGCCGATGGCGGCGAGCGACAGCGGGGCGGCACTAGCGGCTAGGCGGCGGCTAGGAAGAGAGAGAGGGGGAAAAAGAGGGACTCACCGAAGACGACGAGCGACGGCGAGCGGCGGAAAACGGCGGGCGACGGCGGGACGGGCTCCGGAGCGACCTGGGGAACGAAATGGGAGCGATTAGAGAGAGAGAGAGCAACGGACGGAGACGCCGGCCGAAGGCGGCTGCAATGGCGAGCTCACCTGCGTGCGGTGAAAGGCGGATTCCGGCGACGGGATCGGACGGCGGAGGGGTGGACGGCGTGGCCCTCGGGCTCGCGAACCCGACGGAGGCAACGGCGAGGCTCGGCGACGGCTCTAACGGCGGCGAGCGGTGGCCGGAGGCGCTTAGAGCGGTGGCGGCGGGTGGTGCACGGCGCTAGGGCAGAGAGCTCGGGTGCGAGTGGTTGCAAAGCGGAAAAGAGAGAGGAGGGGCCAGGGGTGCTTTATATAGGCTCGAGGGGATCGATCGTGGCCGGGAGGTGCGGGAATCGGCCGGCGACGTGGGGAAGGTGGAGAGGAGAGAGACGGGATTAGAAAATCGAATCCCAGCCATCTCGAGCGCGGGTGCGGGCGGGAGA